TGGTTGATGGTGATGGCAGGCACCATCAGATCCAAATTCAGCTCCAGCCTCGCAATCACCAAGTGCAGAAAGTGCTCGATGCCTGCCGGAGCATTCTTCCCGCTTCTCACGCTGAGAAGATGTTTCCTGGCTGGTGGCATATCATGATGTGGTTAAAGAGCGAAGAGATTGAAGTCGCCGATGCCGAGTGGTCAGCCCTGGTCATTCAGCTTCTAGCCATCTATCTCGCGTTGGGCAAGGCCAGCGCCACACAAGAATCTCTTACAAAGCCGTCAAGAGGCAAACGGCGACCCCAGTCCGGCTCATTCGGGTCAATACAGGACGTCGAGGACTGGAACACTTTACATTTATACGAAACCCCCAATGCCCTAGGCTGCCCGAGTTGGCAGCAAACGAGAGGCTGGGACTGGACCCTCGAGGAGGATGGCAGCGACGATTTCTCCAGTCCGCCCAATCCTGGTCTTAGATATAACAAGTTCATGTCGACTCACATTCAATACGCCAAGGGCTACTTAGCATCTCCCCTTGGCGAGAAGGCCGTCGGCGCCAATGGATACCTTCCAACCGGGCAGCAACGAAGTGCAGAGAACCGTGGCAATGCCGCCTGGAACGTATTCGTGGCTCTTCATCTCCTACTTGAGGAACAAAAGCTGGAGATCATGACACCTGAATATGCTTCTCCGGGTACGGCGCCACTGCGGGTGGTCATGTGTCAAATCGCCCGTTGGCTGGGATGGCACGACTTTGTCGCAGTGTACGAGCTGGGAATTCAGGAAGAATTGGAGTCTCGCTACGATACAGGTCAGTAATTCGTTTCTTCAGGAAACTTGGAGAGACACTGACAGGAACAGAACTCCGCCTTGAAGTACCTCTTGCGCAACCGTCGGGCGTTGACTTTGACATCTTCCACTGGATACAGACGTGTCTTGCCGCCGGCCAATACCACCCCTTCCTTACCTTAGCGAATCTTTATCACTCTCAAAACTTGAAGGCTGATCAAGAGCACCTCAAAGATTCCAGATGGGCATCTATCACGCCAAGAACACTCATGTTCAAGCGGCTTTTCGAAAAGCTTACACCCAAAAGCAGCGCCGCTAACATGGTCGAAGCCATGCACTCTGCAGGCATTAGCAGTCGGGTGCTTGAAACACTTCCCGAGGCTGTGCTTGCGCCGCTCAAGGACTCGATTGCTAGATGTCAAGCCCGGCCACCCGCTTCATGGCCCAAGGATCTGTTGGAGCTTGTCAACCGTGGCGATATCAGCATGGTTCTGGCGCCAATCAAGAAATTGCAGAAGAGCGGCGCCAACATTCTTGTCAGTATTCTTTGATCCCAGCCTCCCCGGTACTCTGTACTAACAAGCCATAGACACCCACGCATAATGCGTCATGGGACTACCGAACTATTTGCCAAAGCGTTGACGAGTACAATAACAACGGTTACGACGAAGGGCAGGGAACCGAGCGACAGGCCGTCATACGGGCATTATTCAAAGAGGACCGTCGCCTCAACGAAGCCCAGAATCTCCTCTCCACTCACAGAGCTCGTGTTGTCCGTCTGGAAGCCGATGCAGCGTGGTCAGAGAGCGAATACCTCGAAAGACAAAAGGAACTTGTGTCTAGAATTGCCACGGGCACTCTGGCCATCCCTGCTGGCCGAGCGCTCTTGTATTACAGCTTACGATACCCGCTGTTGACACAAAAGTTCCACGTAGCCGGGTTCAATCTGAATTGCGTCGTTCGTCCAACAAATGTTACCGTCGGTGTCGACAAGGCACTTTTCACGGAAGAAAAGGTCTGCTGGGGGTTCTTCCACCAGGGCGTGGCGGCCGGACTTGCCATTTCTCCAGAGGCCAAAGGTATTGACACCTCTTGGATCTTGTACAATAAGCCTGGCCACGATCTGAGCAATCGACACGCTGGCTTTCTGCTTGCTTTGGGCCTGAATGGGCACCTCAAGGGTATTGCGAAATGGGTTGCTTTCAAGTACCTCACTCCGAAGCACACCATGACTTCAGTCGGTCTGTTATTGGGGCTCGCTGCGTCTTATATGGGCACCATGGACTCACTCATCACACGTCTACTCTCTGTTCATGTTACTCGCATGCTTCCTAGGGGTGCTGCGGAGCTGAACTTGTCCCCGTTGACGCAGACTACGGGTATCATGGGCATTGGTCTTCTCTATTGTAACAGTCAACACAGGCGCATGAGTGAGATCATGATGTCTGAAATAGAGCATATGGATGAGGAAGACGAAGACGAGCCACTTCGAAGCGAGTGTTACCGGCTCGCCGCCGGCTTCTCACTTGGCCTGATCAATCTCGGCAAAGGCAACGACCTCCGCGGGCTCCACGACTTGAGACTGACCGAAAGCCTCATCACGATTGCTACGGCCACAAAGAAGGTCGAAATGGTACACGTTCTTGACCGAGCAGCAGCTGGCGCGGTCATGGCCCTCGCTCTGATTTTCATGAAATCAGAGGACCATATCGTAGCCAGGAAGATTGACGTACCAGAGTCCATTGTTCAGTTCGACTACATACGGCCGGATATCTTGCTGTTGCGTACCGTTGCAAAGAACCTAATCATGTGGAACGAGATCGAACCAAAGTTCGAATGGATCTTGGAGAGCCTTCCCAAGGCGTACCGTGTCCGTTATGAGCTGGTCAATACCACCAAGCTGAAGAGTACAGACCTACCATTCTTTAGCATCGTTACTGGAATCTGCTTCTCTATCGCGCTGCGTTATGCGGGCAGTGCGTCAGTGAGGGTACGAGACCTCTTAGTACACTACCTCGACCAGTTTATCCGTATATCTCGGATACCTGCCACGCCACGGCCGCCTCCACATGACTATCCCATGTACGACGAAGAGCTCGCCCGGTCCAATGCGCGGATGTGCCAAGATGTTCTCGCGCTCTCCGCCGCCATTGTCATGGCCGGCACCGGTGATCTTGTCGTGCTACGTCGTCTTCGTCTACTGCATGGCCGTGACGATCCAGATACCCCTTACGGCTCGCACTTGGCTGCACATCTCGCCATTGGGTCTCTATTCCTCGGATGCGGAACAGCCACCTTTGGCACGAGTAACATGGCCATCGCCAGTTTGCTCATTGCGTTTTATCCCATCTTCCCCACCTCAGTTATGGACAACCGCTCTCACCTCCAGGCCTTCCGCCACTTCTGGGTCCTGGCCACCGACCCTCGCTGCCTAGTAGCGAAGGACGTCGCGACGGGCCAACCGATATCGGCACCAATCGAGATTCGCAGGAAAATGAATGGAGCCCACGACGCAGAGGATGTCGCTGTCGTCCGTAACACGCCTTGTCTCCTGCCTCCTCTGGCCGACATTGCCAGCATCCGCACCGACGCAGGGCCAGCCTTCTGGGACCTTGAGATCGACTTTGAAAAGAACCCTTTGCTCGTCGACGCCTTTAGACAGAACCAGAGCCTCTACCTCCGTCGGCGTCCTGCACAAGAAGCACCCTTCACGTCGACACTCCGCGCTCTCGGACGGGACGTGCTAGCTGACGTTACCGACAACGGCACACGGGATCCGATTGAATGGATCTTTGGCCTCGATGCCCTCCGCGACCTAACATACGCCGAACGCGCCACCGTTCTGGACCGTAGCACAAGCTCCGAGGGCGCTGCTAGCGAGACCTCGGGGTCCGCGGTGGATGCTCGTCTCGTGCTGGAGCGGAGCATGGACGGGTCCTCGCGGGAGAGGCTCCTGGGGTTGAAGATGCTGTTTGAGTGGGCGGATCGGCGTGCGCAGCTTGATGCAGGGGCTTGGGCTAAGAGCAAGGCTGCCAAGGCTGGCGGCGGTAGTGGTGGTGGAGGTGCGGAAGGGGAGAAGAATCAGGAGTGGTGGATGCGTGATAGCGTTGTTGAGGAGCTCAAGGGGCGGGTGTTTATGGCTGGTCGCGAGGACGGGGCGGGACAGAGTCTCAGAAGCATCTGAGGATGTGTTCGTGTGTGGGTTCAGAGGAGACGGAGATTAGATTATCGTTATGAGGAAACGTGTTATGAAACGAACATTCATCTTTCCGTATCGTCTTATGAAGTATCGCCTGTCGTTTAGTCGCGTTTGATACGAGGAATTATATTTCCGGGGTGATGTCTACAGTAATGCTATTCGGCCAACTGTCAATCTACGAGAGATATGAAAGATGGATGGCTGGATATCAAGGGAAGATAGCCTCACGTATCCCATGATCTGCTAAACGGCGTCGTCACATATGTACCATCCTCAGTGGGCCAAGGTGGAAGAAAAAGAAGAGCCAGCCTGTGTCACTCGACACATCACCACTTCATGTAAAGCATTATTTTTCAAACTGATAACATTTCAATAAGTGCGGTGAATCTACTTTCATCCCCCCATCAGGCTCTCTCCCCTCTCTCTCTCTGTCTGCTTCTTCGAGCCCCCCTTCCTTCACCCCTCTCGACTCCCACCCTTCACTTAGCCCTTTTGGGAAGGGGGGGGAAGATGTCCTCCCCATTTTTGCCCTGAACGCCGTGCCAATGCAAAAAGAAGCCTCGGGGATGTCTGCGCGTGTGTGTAATGTGTGTGTGTGGTGTGGTGTGTGTGATATGACCAGGATCCTCGATTCTTTTCCCGAAATCCGCCCACATCAAACGCCCCTTTCCACCAAATCTCGTCCCCCGAAAGAGAAGCTTCACCTCTCAGACCAGAGAGGTGAGATGCTTCATGGTTGTCGTAAATTTGGCGGTGTAGGTTCTATCGTGTCATTGTAAAAAAAAAAAAAGAAAACCCGGGTTTTCTCCCCCCTTCTTCTTTTTGGATCACCAAAAAAAAACAATTTCCCATCTTTTTTTGTACGGTAATCGTCTTGAAATCATATGTGATTCGTGTGTGGCCATTAAGCTAGCGATTCTTCTTCATGCTTGCCCTTCTTCTCAATAATCCCAAAGCATCTGCTGTAGCTTTTGCTTCTGCTCATACTGGTGCTGGCGCCGCTCCGTCGGGGAAGCCAGATCCTACTTGGAGACGGCGGCGGTGAGCACCTGCGTGCGGAAGAAGCCGCCCTTCGTCTTCTCAATGACCTGCTGGTAGACGTTGTTGGGCGGGTGGTTCATGATGACGGTGCCCTCCTGGCTGTCAATCTTTGCGTCGAGGCGGGTCTCGCGGATGAGGTTGACGATCCACTTCTCGCCGTCGTCGGGGTTGAGGCCGAGCTTGGCGGAGAGGTCGCGGATGTTCATGCGGGAGAAGATCTTGCAGTAGCTCTCGCAGATGAGGTGGCGCGCGGCGTCGACGAAAGCGTCGGACGACGACATGAGGAAGAAGTCGGCGCGGCAGACCTCCTCGGCCTTGCGGAGGGCCTCGCGGGCGGCGTTGAAGTCGTGGGCGACGTACAGGGCCGAGACGAACTCGGTGACGGGGTCGGCGTACTCGTAGGCCTCCTGGCGGACGTAGCGGATAATGTCCTTCATCTGCTTGGCCTGCAGGGAGGAGTTGCGGGAGCGGGAGCGGCCGGTGATGACGGCGGCGATGAGGTAGCGCAGGACCCACGGGCAGGCGGTCTGGATGGTGTTGATGTAGGCGGCGGAGAAGAAGAGGTCCAGGATGGGCTCGCGGGCGGCCTCGTGGTTGAAGAGGGGGAAGAGGGCCCAGTGGACCAGCATGGTGCGGTGGTCGAGCTGCGCGCGGGGGTTGTTAAAGAGCTTGCTGTCGATGCTCTCCTTGACCTTCATAATCTCCTCGACGGCAGAGTCCCAGTTGGTGGTGAGGATCTCGGAGGCGAGCTTACCCCAGGTGGCAGAGGCGACGCGGTCGTTGTCGGTGGACAGGACACGGAACTGGTACAGCAGCTCGGCAGCGGCGCCGTAGTTGCCGCAGCGGAACTGGAACTGGCCAAACTCGTACAGGGCGTTGACCATCTCGATGGTGACCTGTGTTGGTAGCATTTCAGTCAGCATATGCGCCCGTGTATCACCTCCGAAGCTAGCAGGGACACGAGGCCACTCACATCGTGGTCCTTTTTCAAGAACTCCAAGTTGGCAACCTTGTCGCTGCGCAGGGCGCCAACGACGTCCTCGCGAGTCAACAGCTCCGAGATCTTGGCCGTGTCCTGCTCGTACTTCTCAAGCTGCGCAATAACCTCGTTGCGCTTCTTGGCGTACTCGGCAGGCGCCTCGGCGCCGCCGTTGAGGTCCTGGTACAGCTGGGCGACGTAGTCGGCCATGTTGGTATCCTCGAGCAGCTTGATCTTGCCGGCAAGGATCTTGCGGGCACCGGCATCGTCGCCCTTCTCCTCGGCACGGCCGGCCTCGAACTCGATCAGCGGGAAGACGAGGTGGCGGGACAGCTGCGACGCGAGCTTGGGCAGGATGCTCTCCTCGCCGAGGGCGGCATAGACATCCTCCATGATGGGCGAGGTGTATTTTCGGGTGGTGGATGAGTGTAAGTGTTGTCGGTCGGGAGGCAATTTTGGAAAATACCGGATCGAGAAAATCGAGGTATGGAGTCGTCGCCTGAGGGGAGGAGGAGGAGGGAGGGGGGTGTGGTGTCGTCGGCCGTCCGGTTCGGGGTCTGCGCGATCGTCTTTTGCTCAATCTTTTCCTTCCGCTGAGGGGCAGAAAGAGTTTTGGGCATTTTCGCCAAAGGGCAGGTTTGGTGGGGGGCTTTGTGCCGTGGTTTTGCCGCTCCCGCCTAATGCCTGAACCACTGGAAGGACAGCTTTGTTGTACCTTGGTGGCCCTCGGGTAGCTTACCTAAGAACGTCTGCACCTCTGGAAAACTGTGGGGTGTTGTCGGTGAATTCAACGTCAAGTGCACGGTCCCTCGACACGCTCCCAATTGATCCGAGCTTCAACCGGCGCGAATCCCTTCATCACCAGAAACCTCTGTATCGCTCTCCGTCCCAGCTAAAGGTCCAGTCAAACACCCAACAGAGCCCTGCCCAACCGAACCCTCGCCATATCTGTGCCTCGAAACGATACCCAAAGACTTAAGCGTCCGAACCACATACTTCAAGATGCGCTCAGCAGTCAGGAGCGCCGCCCTCGCCCGGCCCCAGCTCACCTCCCTCCTTACCCCAAGAACAACCGCCTTCCTCCCCTCAATACGCTTCTCCTCCACAACCGCTGCCGCCGAGACGACAACGACTAGCTCACCAAAGACCACAGCGAGACCGTACGTCGTCAGCCTCACCCCCTCGAACCAATTCCCCGTCTACGCGCGCACAAAGGCCGCCGGCTCGTCCAAATTCACCATTGTCAAGAAGATTGAGGGAAACAAGAAGGCGTTTGCACAGGATCTCGCCCGCGAGGCTGGCTTCGCCGAGGCAGAGGTCAAGCTGAACCCCATCACAGGACACGTTCAGGTCAAGGTACGTCGGAGCTCCTTTCTTCTCGCAACCATAGAACTGGTTTGGGGGGTGGGGGGGACGGAAACCATTCACCCTTCCCGAGCCCCATTCTCCGGAGTCTCTCTACTGTACTTAGTCGAATTCTAACAATATCATAGGGCTTCCACGTCGAAAAGGTCAAGGAGTGGTTGACCACCGCATTGGGGAACCCTGCAAAGACGGCATGAATGTCGGGATATACGGTGTGCGGTTCGCTAATCAGCGAGGCCGAATTGTATAATCAGAAATTGTATCATACCACTGGGAGCAAAGACGGTCAATTGGCTGGTGCTATATGCCGAGGGCGTGGATTGAAAAAGTTCGGTACGATATTGCGCTATTGACTTAGATACATGGCGATGTACTATTAGCTCCATAGAGAGCAATACTTGACCAAAGACTCCTTCCCGTCTTACAGCTGAGACAGTGTGATGACTAAATTTCAGTCGTCACCTCAACACTCGGATCTCTAAACTCTTCGCACAAGTCCAGGATCACCACTTATCATGTCATTGATACCAGCCGCGTTTGAATGTGGTCCGTGAGGTATTCTTGCATTTCCGCGTTATATATACACCTATGAAAGACGGCCCTTTGACCAAGTAGCCTCGCTCCATGCTCCCAGTAAACTCCCGTCAACACGCCAAAAGTCTTTTTTTGGTTACAACTCTTATACAAAGACGTGCCATATACATCTAAACGCCTCGTTCGGGCGCTCAGGTCCCGAGCTTCGGTCTTGTCTTCGGCCCATCAAAACCATACAGTGAAGAAACCTGCACCGAGCTTGATTTTCCCCAATCTTTTGATTTAATCCATACATGAAAAACCATGACGATACCTATGACTCTAGCGAGGCGTAGGCAGCAAGATTCCTCATCACTCCGTCTTTTGTCCATTCGGGGGATCGCATCATCATCATCTTGAAGAGGCTTTCTTCCGATGGTAATGAGTCCGCGGGGACTAAAGAGTTAGGATCATTGGGATCCCTTGCCTTCTCTGCTAGTCTCCGAAGGGTTGAGATGCCAGACGTCGCAATATAAACCAAGCCCGTGTCTCGACCTGCAGGGTCGCCTTGACCACTCCGCGTTTGCCATGGTTGCTCGAATTGAGCTCCAAGCACTTGGACAAAGTGATAGAGGGATTGAGCAAAGCCATTGCCACTGGATAGCCATGATTTGGCGATTCCTGTCTCATATCCGGGTGCGAGGGATGCGATGATGTCTGTAGCCAAAAGACCCTGCATGAGCCAAGGCTTCCGATCTTCGACAAGCCTAAAGAATTTCTCGGGAGCCTCGATGTGTGCGACGATAGATTCTGGTGACTGGATGGGAATAACTGTGGTGGCCAGAGCAAACGAGCGCGTCAACAGGTCGTATGGTGGGCTACTGCTGGCTTCCGTAGCAAAGAGGGTCTTGTAATGCGTCCTGTTTGGTTCGTCGCGAGCCAGGAACCTAGCCAATGCATCGACGGCATGGAAAGTGTACGTATGGACTCCAGGCTGGTAAGGTGGGAAGTAGAGCTTATTGTCTACCACAGACGGTCCAGGTGCTGGTGCAAAAGAGAGCAAAAAATGCAATAAACACAGCGCTTGCTCGCGGCCGGGAATTTCGACTGCGCCTGCGATATTAGACAGTAGAATAATGGCGTCTTTCATGAACTCGAGGGTGTTTGCGTTTGTCCGGAACAACATGGTTCTCGTGCCGAGATATCTGATCACAGCGCAGAGGAACTTGATGACCAGCTCGTCGCCCAGAACCAGATGGTTTTCATTGGAAGCTTCAGGGAAGGAAAGGTTGCGCAAGATGGTGATTACGCAAGAGAACCGGTCAACAGCACGGTCAAGTTCGTACTCGGGGGTTCCAAACTTAGGCAGCTCCTTCACGCCCATCTTGTCGGTCCAACAGGCACGAGCCACGTCCTCGTAGGGAGTCAATTGAATGTCTGACGAAGCCTCCTCGGTGTTTTCGACAAGCAAGTCCAATTGGTCCTCGGCACATTCGAGTAAAGCTTCGATGAGCTCTTCGCAGTACTTGAGGTGGATGTGCAGAGCCTGATGCTGCGTAGAAGTGACAGCGGCGAGGGTGTCAAGAGCAAGTCGTACTTCGCCGTGGATTCCAGACTCCAGACTTCGTGTCAGAGCGTGCAAATCCACGTATCCAAGTTCGTATGGGGGTGGGATATCTGGCTTCAAGCCCTGAAGCTCCAAGCCCTTCAGGTCGAAAGCTCGAATATTGATACCACCATAGGTCTCAAGAGGGCGAGCACTGGGTGTGTATTCGTCCGATTCTTGAGCTAGCCGCAGCATACGGGGCTTGATCGAAGCTGCCATGGGGTTTTGGTCCAGTCCTGGGGGAGCAGGCATGGGCAGTCCACCACCTTTGACAGACGCAGGAGAAGCTGCTGGAAATCCTTGGGGGTGGCCCGGCGTCGGTTCTACGCTGCGAGACAAGCTGTTCCGGGCATGGCCTTGCTGTGCGCTCGCAGGCGTATGTGGCCCCGGAGCCTGAGGCGTTTGGAAGCCATTGACAGACGGAGGCTGCCCGCTAAAAGACCCTTGCTTGACGGGAGTTTGAGCTTGAGGAGGCATTGGCGGTTGTCCGGACTGCATCATTTGCTGCTGCTGTTGAGGCGGCATCGGCCCTTGCGGAGACATTTGTTTTGTGGGTGTTGTTTGGGGTTGGGCGCCTGGCGGCATTGGCTGGTTCGGCATACCCTGTTGCTGCTGCTGTTGCTGCTGTTGTGCTATCATGCGTTGTCGACTTTGCTGCGCAACCCAAGCCTCCTCGAATCTGAGTAGATTTCTTTCGTATATCTCCTTCAATACCTGGGGTGCCTGGGGAATCTGGCCTGGGTGAAATCCAATATTGTTCGAAACATGAGGCCATTGATTACCAGCAGTCGTAGGCTTGTAACCTCCCTTGCTCTGCACGGCTTGGAATAATGTCAACAGATTGACGGGTCGGTTGCCGATGACTGGGTTCGCGTCCAGCTGTTGGCCCTTAGCGGTCATGAAAGTAGTGAGACTCTTCATGAATTGCTCCGGGTCGGTTCGTGGCTGCATCTGTCGCTGTTGGGGTTGGGGCCTCATACCGCCCGGGGGCATCTGACCATTAGGCATTTGCATGGGCTGCTTCGGCATCATTCCACGGCCTTGCGCCATATTTTGAGCCTGCATCTGAGCTGCCATTTGCATGTTCTGCATATTTTGCATGTTCTGCATATTCTGCATGTTCTGCATTCCCTGCATCGTTCCCTGTTGCAATTGTTTCTGAAGTCGCGCCTGGTAAGCTGCCATTTGTTGGTGCTCCATGGCATTCCGCGGTTGCATGTTGGGGGGCAACATCTGGTTCGGCATTTGGCCCATTTGCTGGGGCATCTGTCCCATCTGCTGAGGCATCATGCCAGAGCCCGCCATCGCACTCGGGTTGGGGGAGGGTCGCGCGGGGGAAGGTGAAGGGTTGAAGTTCGGATTGTAGCCTTGAGGCATGTTGGGCATGTTTTGTTGCATGAAGTGGTTCGGTTGCGGAGTGCTGTGCTCGGAGGGATTCGGTGACGCTTGAGGCGCAAATTGTTGCGCACCGGGGGAGAAAGGGTGTGGCGACGCGGTCGCAACTCGCTGAGGCACGCTTCCGGGTCGCAACTGATTCGCCATGATGGGTGAAGGTGTCGCGTTCGCAGAGCCGTTGGCTTGAAGATGGGGATACGGCGAAGGTTGGCCTTGCGCCTGTTGGGGCATACCGGGTTGATAGCCGGGAAAGGTCTGAGGCGTTTCGGAGCGTGACGTTGGCAGCATGCCAGGGTTTTGTCGCGGTGAGCCGGCGAGGCTGTCTTCGCGAGGACGAGGTCGTTTCGATGGAATAACGGGGTTTGTTTGATAGGCGGGATTCTGAAAGGATGACGGAGAGGCGTTGCGCATTTGGCCATTTTGCATTGCGGCCATCTGCTGTTGCTGCTGCTGAACCTGCTGTTGCTGTGCCTGCTGAGCCTGCTGGGGATTGGCAAACTGGGCGGGATTGAAATGGGCAGGACTGCCCATGAAGGCGGAAGGATCCATCATGGCTCCGGCCGCGTTAGGATCGTTCATGTGTGGGAAGCCGTTGCCATTATGGTTGGGGACCGCGGCTTCGTTCATCCAGGTGCTCATGGTTGAGGTCGTCTGGCGCGACCCATGGAGCGATTGCTGGGGAAAATTAGCGACTGCAACAAAATGAGCCAAGGGCCATTGAGATGGAGCGGTAAATGGATGAGATGGGGAGTGACACGGCAGCGGCTTGTCGCGATGCAGACTTGTCGCGCGTCGCGGTTGTGTGTGGTGGATTGGACGTGGTGCGTGGTGCGTGGTGCGTGGTGCTGGGGGGAACGAGCGAGCGGACGAGTCGCAGGTGTGTGGGAAATCAGCAGTGGAGCCAGCCGCTTTTGGGGGATGAAGTGCGCTGGGCTGGGCTGGGCACGACTGGCGCCGGTTTTGGGGGGGAGCAGAGCAGCCCGGTCCTTTCCTCAGGTCGTCGGGTCTGAGTCGGCTGGGAAGGTGGCTCTGGCAGCTGGCTGTGCGGCGTGCCTTCTGGGGGAGTGAGACTGGGAAGGAAGGCTGTGGCGCACAGGGAAGGGAAAGAGTGAGTGAGAGAGGCTAGAGGGTTGGAAAAAATGGGCAAGGCAGAGAGGAGGAGCATGAAATGAGCAACGCAACACAGCCAAGCCAACAGGCAATCCTCAGACTCACGAGACAGGCGAACAAGAGGCATCTTGTAAGCTTAGATTATTCTCGAGTGACTAGCCACATATGGGCTGGGAAGCGCGCAAGGAACACAAGGCAAGGTAGCAGCGATAAGGGGGGAAAAGGCAAAAAAGAGGCAGAGGCGATGCGAAGCCTGCAGTGCCCAGGATCGCGAACTCGCGCAACCACAAGCATCAGCAACCACATCGACAGGTGTCAACCATCAAGAAGGAGACATCATCGCATCGAATAGAGGTCACGAGATGATGGAAACAGCACTTACAACTCTATCGGCGGCCCGGGGGTGATCGGGATGGGGGTGCGAGGATTGGGAAGGGGGAAAAAAAAAAGGGTACGACTTTGGGGCGGCGGCGGAGGGAGGCAGTACAGCTTCGGGTCGGGACAGGCCAGAACAGAAAAGCAGAATAAGAAGAAAGCCTCAAAGCAAAAAGCGATGGGGTGGGCAAGCGACCAGCAGCAAGCAAGCAAGCAATGCAACAGAAAGGCTGAGAGAAGAACGAGATAGAGAGAGAGAGAGAGGGTGTGCCTGGTCTTACCTAACAAATGCTACTCAAAAGCGATGGACAACAGAAAGCAAAAGTAGCTTTGTTGGCGGCGGCGTCCCGAATCAGAGGCAAAGGCTGCTGCAGCTTGGAACACTGATGAGAGCCGGGCTGAGAGTCGTGGATATCAGAATTGGAAGGGAGGGTCGATGAACTGTGAACTGTGAACTGGAACTGAGCTGGCTTCCCATTCAAACTGGACGCGACCGAGTGAGAGTATGTCCTTAGGTTCCTGGCTGTGTCGTGTCTGTCAAGTCAAGTCCTGCTCCTGCCTGCTTCTTCCAACTCTCGACAAATCAGCAGAGACTTTGGGGGGCTGTGCTGCTGCTCCATTGGTTTCATCCGCCCACCGCCAGGCAAATGTTCCCAGACGCGCTTCCCTTCCGTCTACGGACTAGCGTTGTTTGGACTCGGTGGAACCCAGAGCCCGGAGAGAACCGAAGAGCCAATGAAATGTCCTTGTTAGTGGTTAGATACCAGAGCAGTGTCTGCTGTTAACATTTTCCATCAGGATCTTACCAAACACTACCAGATTGGTGTCCACCAAGTAACGTCCGCGTATTACTTCCCTCTTCCTCCAAAAAATCACCTAAACCGCATCTGCTCACCTCGGGCAGAATTGCTGCTCTCAATGTACCGGATGTGAGGAATGGTGTTTACCGCTGTTGTTGTCGAGTCATCCTCCTTCCTCGTGATAGGTATCAGCGAGCATTCCGATGCCCATGTTCCCCAAGTCGTCTGCGCTTGTCCATCCCCATCTGGAGTTCACAGTCACGATGACCCTCTCCTTCTCTCTCTGTGCCGATCATCGTTCCGAGGTAGTGTCGTATGGTCTTCCGTCTCATTTCCCATGATCGAGCCTGGAGTGCCTTCCTCAAATCCCCGTCTCTTTTCAACATATTTCTCGAGCCCATAAGGCCGATAAACAAGTCACTGTTTTCTGCCTGTATGGCATATCTGCATGATCCCCGAGACCAATCCCAAGACTTCTTGAGCATACAAAAAAATATTCCAGACAACAGTTGGTGCCGCCTCTGGAACGACACATTTTGAGCGCCATGGGTTCCGCTTGTAAAGAATGCCCGCCCATATGACGATTATGAAAGATCGTTTTGCTCTGGTATGTCCTGTGCATATCCTTCAAAAGTTGAAATGGCTGTCCACGGATATATTTTCTTCGACCAAGCGGTCTGCTCGGGTCGCAGGAGTACGGGAAAGAAATGAAAGCAGAAGAAGCCTGTCAGTCGAAAGAGGCGTGAATAGAGAGTAGGCAGCCAGATGCCCGGGTGCAAAGATGGAAGGCGACGAGCTACCTCGCGAAAGATGATCATGTCGTGAGGCGATAACAGCGTCTGATAGCAATGCCACATCCGAAACCTGCATCGAGTAGTTGGAAGATGGCGGGTATGTAGATAAGTGTGTAGGTGTGAGAGCGAAGGAATGGCAATGTGACAGACTCAACTCGATCCAGCGTCACGGCAGCCAACTTTAGCAAGCCGTATTACGTCGCACGTCGCTCCATCACTGCGCCTGGTTGTGCGTTTCCCTATCACCATCCGCAGGGGTGTAAGAACACTGCGTCTAGTGTAAGTGGGAAGGCCTTGCCTTGTGCAGATAGTAGGGGAAGGTCGGGGGCGCAGAAGTCTGCATGATGTGCGAACCGAAGGAAGCAAACAAGTCGAAGAAAGGTAAAGGAGACGAATTGCCGCGTGTGGTTGTCGTCGTCGTTCGAGTAATAAATGTTGCATCTCGAGACTGCCGCCGTCGTTCGTTGTCCATGGTTAATTGCTGCAGGATGCCCCGCCAATGAAGGCCCCAAAGAAGCTAACGCGGTAGAGATGCATGCTTCCCAGTGACATGGCTCAGGTCGAAGCGGCCATCACATCCCCGTCAGAATCACCCAACATCGGCGCCAGTGATTCTCGGACAGCCCATAATGAGACTTCCATTTCTGCTGTTCGTTGGCACGTCGGCAGACACACGATAGAAACTGAAGCGTCGAAACTCTGCGGCGGTCTCCGAATTGGCATATATCAAATGGTCTAAGCCAGAAGGTTTCGAGTCTCCTTACTGGCATGGCGCCACGGTAAGGGTAGGTCGCAGTAGCAGTGGCAGTAGCAGAAGGCTGTAGCGATAGCGGTAGCGGTAGGGTCCAGGCTGCTCTCAGGGTTGTTTCGTCATTTCTTTGGCGGGATCCCATGTCTGGCGCAGTTTGGCCTGGCCCGGTGCCGGCCCCGTCACGGTCATGGCCCGCATGGCTAGTCCTAGAAGGCTTTCTACTCGTGCCTGCGGTCGATAGTTTGCTGTTGCTGTGTCGCAGTGATGCTTGGGAGGTTTTTTTCGGGTCGATTGGGCTTGAACTTGTCCGGTTTTTCTGGCCACTTTTGGGTCCTTGACTGCCGGTCAAACATGAAGAGGGACGAAGGCTGCGGCACTGAATGAAGCCTGAAGGCCTGGCCATTCATGGTAGTCGCTGGGTTGGAGATTCTCGCCCACTGGGTCCAGATACGGCCAAGCACCCTGGTCGACCCCGTCCGTCGAGTGGCCCCAGACAGGCCATGACTGTTTCGACCCTTTGTGGGAGGGAGTCTGCCCTCAGCGTCCTCTGCTGAATCGACGTGTTCCTGGCGAAAGCGAGGCTTGACCGAATTTCTCTCACTCCATCGACTTTGGTTTTTTTTGTTTTTTGTTTTTTGGCGACGGTCGTCTTTTTTCGAGGTCGAATGATCCGTTGTTGTTGTTTCCGGGTCCAGCTGGTAGAACTTACAAGGTCCTGACGGTGGGAAAACGGTGGTGAGGCCTTGGGAGGGGCTACCGTTTCCAGATCAGCAGACGCCGGTGTCAACGGCCCGTAAAAGAGCGACAGCGCAGACTGGAGAGAATTGCAATAATTTTGCAACGACGAGGAAGAGCAGGAAAGGAAAGCAGCAGAGAAGTGAGGGAATGGTCAGAAAAGAGGAGGAAAGGGAACGGGGGCAGGTTGGGCGATTTATGTGAATTAGAGTACATGGCGGATGTACCTCCGTGCTGGTACTGGTGCTGGTGTCGGTCCTGCGCTCCTCCCAGTTCGGACCCATTACCTTTACAGTGCCTGCCCGTCCCTGCTCGACGGTGTCGGACAAGTGCAAAACGGTAGCTAACCCCTCCGATGATCTGGGCACTTCCTGCCTTCCTAACCTTTGATTCCATATTTACTCCGTCCGGCGGGTGATTCTCCCAATGTCTTCGCTTTCGTGCCATCCTGCCCCTTGTTTAAGGTAACTCATGGAAAGAAGGAGCAAAGTTGGGCTGAGGAAGTTGCAGCCACCCATGTGTCATGCGGGTGCTGGTGGGAACGAGGAAGGAACGTTTGTGACCCGATTGAAAGGCGAGGAAGGTAGGTACCTGCCCACCCGACCTTCTGAGGAAACTTGGCTGCCAGGTGAAGCAGGTGCGGGTGGTCAACGTACCTCAGTTGCTTCCTTACCTCAGGCACATTAAGGTAGAATAAGCAGGAAGATAAAGCAGGAAATACCAGGCCACTTCAAGGTGAGATCTGGTATTGCAACGAGAGGAAAGAAACCCCTTTCGTGACTGCCTTCCCAGCTGCGTGCTTTCTGTGGGAATGGAGCTGACGTCGGGGCGGGCTTTGGGGGGAGCGAGGGGGTAGGGAAGCCTCGGAAATCAGCCATCATCACCTCCCGTCCTCCCCCATTCTGATAGACGCCTCATTTAGACCGTGTCAGTAAGGTACTGAGTAGAAATGGTCGGGGTATTTCACTTGTACGCACCCGTCAATGGTTTCTGCTTCTTTTCAGCCGTCTGTTCCCCTCTCCTCCCATCATACACCTTGCTCACGCCATCTCAATCATCCCACCGGATTTCTCGTCTTTCTTCACGTCGGATGTGTGCTCCTACAAATACCTTACGTTCAGGCACCTACTTTCAACAGCAAGAAGATCCTCCATCCAGCAGTAATTGAGGACCAGCTCTGCATATCCACGTGTGCCCCCTTTTTTCTCCGATTCACGTTATTGCGAGAGACACGCCCTGTCGAATAGCAAAATGCAAATTCCTGCCTCATCTCATCTCATCTCATCGCTTGCTCCGGCCTTTCTTCCCCGCCGTTCCTCAATCTCGCGCCCTTTCTACCTTAACCCACAGTCCAATCCAATCCAATCTAAACCCAGTTCAAACGCACGGCTTCGTCTTTCCCTTTGGCCTTTGGCCTTTGCCTTTGCCACGCTGGCTGTGTGGTAAGGTAGCTGGTTGGTTGGCTGCTAGGCCCGGCCTGGCGCATCTTGTCTCTGCCACGCCGCTCATCAAGGATGGTAGCTTCGGATCCTCTTCTCGTCTCTATTTTTCCAATAACCTTTTGTTCCCTTTTTCCTGTCTCATTGCGGCCAAACATGGAATGGATGTGCTGCTCCGCGCGAGGGCACCTTCATCTGCCTGGATTCCCATGGCTTAAACCCTCCTCGGCTATCTTTCCTGTTTGTGTTGCCGTGCCTCAGTGCCTCAGGGTAACCGTAAGTAAGGTAATAGGTATTGGATGGGGATGGAGGTCCAAAGTAGTCTCCATTCATGGATGTCACCAAGCCCAGCATCGGCCCCATCCGGGAGATGATGGGACGAGAGACGAGACGTGGATGCGCACACTGCACTGCACTGCACTGCACTAACCACACGAGATAGAAAACCACCATCAGCGCTTGCTTCACATCACCTCCAGCTTTGCTCGATCTTGACAAATCCCTGTCAGCTGTGCCTCTACTCGATCTTGTACAGTCTACATCAGGAAGAAGAACTTTCAAGCATCGATTCCCACCTCAGCCGGCGCCATTGCTACTTTATTTCGCTCGCATCACTTTGCCCTTCGCTTCACCGCTCGAACCGATTCAGACTCATACCTCGACGGTTCCCATGTTTCTCCACTCTTGGGCACCCTTGTTGTTGTGGCCAAGCACCCAAGATGCCGGACCGCATGGATGGCCCGCCATTCACATTTACGAATACTCCGTACAAAAGCGTCCCTCCATCCTCGCCAAACCCCCCTCACCAACCCTGAGGCAGTCAATGCCAAAGTTCAGGGACTGCTTAGGTAGAACGTCGCGGGCATTGAGATAGCTTCTCGTTTCGCTCCCATCACAACGCAAGGAAAGCTCCAAGCTTTTGAGCACATCCTGAAACAAATCACCGCCATCACGGGTGTGAGCGTTTCCTGGTGGGTGCAGATCTGCCCAAGAAAAGGCGCACCATCCAACCATCCATCATCATCCCTTCCGAGACCCAAATCTAACCAGCAAACGCCAAAGCTTTAACGCCCGCCAGCCTTGATCTCGGCCCACCTCCCCTCACACCCGACATGGCGAAATCTCATGGAAATCTCATGATTTGTAGTGATTCAGTTCCATATGAGTGTGAGCGTACAGGCTTGCCGCTCTCCGATATAACGAAGCAAGCATCCGTTGCAAGACTACATAAAAAAAAGAACTGACTGGGAGGCCTGCCTTTCTCATGGAGCGCGAGCAACAAAGTATCCCTTCTCTCTCAGCAGGTTGTGCTCAGTATTGGAGCACGGTATTGGTGCGAGATCTCAAATTATATTCCCCTTAACAGTCAGGATAATGGTACAAGACCATTAGAAAATGAGTTTCTGGCAACACTTGCATACATGGTATGTACGGATACCACAGGGCGATGAGCAGAGTTCGTCGAGTCCTGTTCTCCTCTGCTATCCACGGATAGTCCAGACTCCAGCATCCCTCCCCGCCATCTCACCCCCCCTTGTGCTACCGTCCCTTTCCCAGCCCTGCACATCCGCTCTGTGACCAATCTGCACTGAGCTGGTTCAAACGGAACTTGTCTAGCGTAAACGTCGGCTCCACTACTTCTGTGGGGCACAGACCTTCGACGGCGCCGCCAACCTGGATGCCCGATGTTTGTTGTTGGTTCTGCTGCTCCAGGTCATCCCGATACCTATTTATCCTGTAGATGATTGCTATTATGTTATGAGAGAGAACAAGTAGGAAAACATTGATGTCCATCTCGATCATTGCGTCCACAGCTCGTGTTACTTACAACTGCGGCGTAAAAAAGTACCGAAGCAAGTGTCTGGTCTAGGCCTCTTGTTTGAACATACCTTGAAACTTGAAAGTGATATCCGAATTGATTGGCCTTGTGTCTAACATTGTCAAATAGGAATGAATTATCTTGCCCATAGTTTCACAAGTTGCAAATCGATGTTGTTGATAATACACTGCAGGAACAAATCTCACTACAAATAAGTGAGTCGAATTAAGCTTCGCAATACACTACAATGAGAGTCTCGTGTCGTGCCTTTTCGATGTGTTGCGCATCTATCGACTGAAACGTGCCAATGAGCCTTGTTTTTCCTGTGCGTAAGGTTGTGAAGAGCGATACTTTTCACCTTGATTGGAGCCCCGTGGGACGCAAGCCTAGAGACGCAATGGGAAACGCAATTGAGGTCATCGTGGGATCGAGCTCATGATGAATTCCAACTACTGGATGATAATATGGTGTACTTGCATTTCAATTCCATGAGGTCAAGCCCTCGATAGACTCCGTACATGAAGTGGAGTCCACGGGTTGTCTGTCGCCTTTCTCATGTGCGCGAACTTGTGTTGCCATCCTCATTTGGTTTTGGAACCAATTTCAAAGACAGAAAGAAATTCAGCAGAGAGGGTGTGCTTAAGCAAAAGACGATTTGATGCCCTAGAATATGATAATGATAATGTAGGAACCATCTTTGAGCGCTTGAACCGAAGGCTGCTTCTTGTTGAGGCTTTATGCCTTCACGACCAACTTACATGCTGCCCTCGAGACGGGAGTTCGGTGAGAGAAGATGTCACCACGGTGAGCATGGCACGTGAGCAAGCCTCATTTCTCATCAAGGTGTGGCTCAAATCCACTTTACACGACTCACGGACCACCTCCCCCCGCTGTTGCTCGTTGCCCTCCGCTGTGGCAGGACCCCGGTCCCCTGAGGACTTGAGTCCCGAAGGGCGTAGGCAGGCACGCCGCACGCAGAAAAGACCGGGCGGGCAGGCTCAGAGGCTGCACCGGCCGTCATGCGTTATCGATAACCAAAAATTTCTTTACTTCCGACCGCGTCGCGTCCCGCACTTGACTCTTGACTCTCTTTCTTCCCTCCCCTCCATTCTGCCAAACAAGAGTTGATCGCCACCAGACAGCCTCGCCCCCCATCTTGAACGTATACGATACCCTTCTTACGAACGATTTTTGTTGTCCTGTCGCAAAAAAAATCAGCCATCATGCGTTACGTTCTCGTCTCAGGCGGTGTCATCTCTGGAGTGGGCAAGGGCATCATCGCCTCTTCCACGGGTCTGGTGTGTATCCGAATCCCTGTTGAAATTTCCTTATCTACGGGCTGTGACTTCACACTCTGAGACCACACTTTGAGAGCTTTGCCACACCAAGCCATTGGGGATAGCGGGGTGTTTTCTTCATGGGATCTCACAGCCATATCATGCATGCATGCAATGCAGCCAGCCTCGAATGATGCATCATTGCTAACGGTTGGGGTTTCCATGAACAGCTCCTCAAGACCTTGGGACTGCGCGTCACTAGCATCAAGATCGACCCGTACCTGTCGGTGAGTGAAACCTCCCCTGAACCCCTCTCTTGACCGTGTGTCCCAGTAACTGACGATGACATACAGGTCGATGCTGGTCTTATGGCTCCCGCCGAGCACGGCGAATGCTTTGTGGTTCGTATTCCTTGAACCCTGGAGTGCCATTCCTGGTCCGGGGCATAGGGACTAGTGTCTCTATCCAAGCCACACCTAAGATGATGAGGTGTTGGTAATTCTCGGAGCAGTCTGTAATGTTCTGATTTGACGGTAATCGCTGACCATCATCAGTTGCACGATGGCATGGAGGTAGATCTCGGTAGGTGAACCTCTGGACGACAGCTGGCCCATGGATCCCTCCCCCTTTTCTCCCCCGGGGGAGAAGCTATTGCCATTCTTATCAATCGCAAATCTCTGACAACGAGGCTCGCACACAGACCTGGGCAACTACGAGCGCTACCTCAACATCCGTCTGACGGGCGAGCACAACATTACCACCGGCAAGGTCTACAGGCATGTCATTGACAAGGAGCGCCGCGGCGATTACCTTGGAAAGACGGTTCAGGTGTACGTTTGGCCTCCACAGGTTTACCTACATCTTTCAATTTGCTGACAGATGCCAGCGTGCCTCACGTCACCGATGCGATCC